GAGCCTTGCCAGAGCTTAGCTACAGGATGAGAACATTTAACTCAAGCTTGCAAGCTTATCCATTTGGATTCCTTTTAAGTTTGTATACTTAAGTTTGTATTTAAGTCTGTAAGAGTGCTATAGGATGGGTTGGAACACGAGAATTTAAACTTCAAAAGAGGTTTGCTGTTCCAATTAACAGCCTGCTTATTGGGAGTAGTAGCCGAGCAGTATGTTGGATCACAGATCCAACATCACTATGTTGGATCACAGAGAGTCCCAATTTCATCTTTTTTCTTCTTGAAGAAACTCTAGTAGGAAACTTGCATTACAAAGCTGTATTATGGCCATTTCTTTCCACTGTAATAGACTGAATTCACTGAGCCTAGGGATGATCCAATTAGATCAATAGATATTAAATGTTTGTTACCTGTGACTAAATTTGATATAGTTATACAATAATGAAGACATAAATTTGTGACTGAGAAAACCAGAGAGGAGGGGGGCTTCCTCCCTTTTCCTGAAGGCAGAAAAAAGAGTAGGCAGAAAACCGACATTCACCAGCATGTTATTGGTTTACAATAAATTAGAAAGCACTTTTAATATGAGCAATAGATTTTTTCCCTTCAATTAGACCATAGACAGCCTTGCTATCTAAGTTAATCAAATGTAGATTCATATTTGTGGAGTCACAAATTTATAGCTTAACGGGTATAAAAGGTAATCACTTCTTGAGTTGCTCTTTTATATATAGTTCCAACTGATGGTGGTCTTGGTAGTGAAACACTCAGTAGTTCTCATAAGTGAGTGTCCTTGGCTGGGTGTGAAACCTTGTCCTATATCTTTAGGTCAGCAGTAATGAAACATTTGAATTTATGGCTCCTTAGTGTAGACTTGGGTATTCCCAGAATTCATTTCTAGATGAGAATTTCCCATAGTGAAGATACAGCTGTAAGTTCTTTTAAGTCATAATTTTACAGAAAAGGTGTTCAGCATTGCAAGCGCATTATCAAGTAACAACTTCCAAATGAGTCCTTTGCAGAAATGGGAAGAGGTCAAGAAAAAGAACTGGTAATATCTACAGAAGTTGGAAACATATTTTTAACTTTTATAGCACTTAACCATCCCAATTTACACCCTTCAAAAACGTGTGGTTTTAGGTTTTGGTTAAATACTGATTTGCCATTGGTTGATAAAACGTGAAACTAGTTCCCCGATTTCAGGATTTCTTTCATCCTATCGCCTGTCTCGGATGGCATTTCCTACACTCTCATTCAACTTGCTTTGGAAACTGAAAGGGCTTTTCGGATGGAGCTTTCTAGGGGAAACTCCATGAAGCTCTTTGGATCCTGGTCGTTGAGGGTCTGCTGAGGAAGTTTCCCTAACAAGGCTATTATAAAATATGTGTGCTATATTTTTCAGAACTTTTTAAAACTCCAATAAAATTGTATATATGTATAAATTAAAATGCTAACCAGTAACCGAAGTACTCCTTTAATATTGGATACAAGCCACATTTATAGTCCACACAAAAAATATGTGTGTTGTTAGGAAGATTTTTACGTCTTGATCCCATGTGAGAATAATGATACCTGGGAGGAAGACAGCCACTTACGTGTCATCAAATGTTTTCTAATATCTAACAGTACATTTGTGTATAACCTGAGCCATACAAAACATGTATTTATGTCTAAAACAAACTCAATAAACTGTGAATAAACAAGACCTCAGAACTGTATTAGTAGCTTATTATGTTATTTGTTCAAACAGCAGGAAGCTTATAATATAGTGGGGAAAGTGTTCAATGAAATATAATCAGGAACAAAATAAGTTTTTTGAAGTACCATGATGCCTGTTAGTGTCAATCAGTGGTGGGTTTCAAAAAAATTTTGTACCTACACTGGGTTTGGCTTGCTTTGTGGGAGTGGCTTGCCAGTCATGTGACCTGGTGGGAGTGACTTGCCAGCCATGTGTTTTCTTTCTTTCTTTCTTTCTTTCTTTCTTT